CTGTATCATTCTCTCTAAATCTTCATCTTCCTAATAATTCACACTCACAGCATATAATTTAATTCTCACTTATTCTTACTCAATAAAATATTTTTTTTACTTTATGCTATTTTATTCTTAATCATTTTCTCTCAATCAATCTCCTTTATTCTCTTTTATTCTCTATTATTCTCTCTAAATCTCTGTCATCCTAATAACTTTCTTACAGTATATAATTCAATTTCTTTTTAATTCTTATGTAAGGAAATATTTTTTATTTTATTCTATTTTTTTTCTTTATTTTTTACCATTGTTCATCTATTCTTATCTTTCCATATCCTATTCAAACTCTTTTCCCGTCCCTCTTCCTTTCTCGCTATCTCTTCCAGTTTCTATCTATTGTAATTTTTCTTTTCTTCCATGTCCAATCTTCCGTAATTCTTTCGCTCCTGCGCTTCAAATTTTTCTTTTTATTCAGTTTTCTCTTCGTTGCTCCTCATTCTCCTTCCTCACTAATACCATCTCCCTTTGCCTTTTTACATTCTCTCCTATTCTTTTTATTTTCTCTATATTTACATTCTGCTATAATCTTAAATACTTCCTTTACCGCCTCCTTTTTTTCCCTTCCTTTATCTCTATCTCTTTCATCAAATTGTTCTTTCACTCTTCCCGTTCTTTCATCTCCATTTTCCTCTCAATTTCTTTTATTTTGTCTTCTATTCTCATACTTTTCTTCCCCCCCCCCCTCCTTTCTGCTTTGCTTCGTTCTATTCTTTTTTTACTTTTCCATTTCAATTCTTCTACTTTTTTCCAACCTTAATACATTTTCTCATCTCCTTCATCTCTTCTTTCCTCTTTTCTTCACCTCCTATTCTTTAATTCCCTCCTTATCTCTTCTATCTTCTCTCTTAACATCTTTTCCTGCTCTCTGATCCCTTTTTTTATTTCCTCTTTCATTTGTTTAAAATTTTTCCTCCACCCTTTTACTCCTCGCATTTCCATTAAATTCTTCTCCATTTCTTCTTTCCATCTTTTTATTTTCTCCCCCATCTCACTCTCCTCTCTTATTTTTCCTTTTTCCGATAATCTCTGTGTTTTCTTACTTTTCTTGAATATAGCCTCTCCATCTTTCTTTTCCCCCAACTCCTCCCTTTTCCTTTTTAATATCTCCTTCACATTCTTAAAACTCCTTTCTCTACTCTTTTCTCTCGCTCTCCTTTTTCTCCTTATTTTTCCTTCCATCTTGCGTTTTCTACAACCAATCTTCCTGCAGCCAATTAATCTATGCCTATTCCTCTCTATTAATTCTTTTCTAATTATCTATGTTTTCAGCCTAATCTCACATTTTTCTCTTTTTCCAAACTTTTTTTATTCCTTTATACCCTACCCCGTCCTATACCCTTCACACTCATACACACTCTGTCACTCCTCCACTCTCTCCTTCATTCTCTTTTACATTTTTGTAAAATGTGAAAACCATTCTTTACCATTTTTTTCATAACATTTTATATTTTAAATAAAAAAGTGATATAGAATGTTAAAATGTACACTTTTTTACTTTAATGTTGTAGAATCTTATATCAACATTTGGTGGGCCTGGGATTTTAGAATTCACATTTTGTTTACTTTGATATATTAAAATCTTATATTTTAAACAAAGAAACTATTTCTTTCTTTAAAATATAAGATATCAATGTATTGCAGTAAAGTTCTAGACCTATCAAATAACATGACATAAAATTCTAAGACATAAGAGTGAATAAAATATTAAAATAAAATATATAATTAAATATTATAAATATTAAAATGTACATTTTATTTATTTTCATGCTTAATACTTTTTATTTTTTTACTTCATTTATTTTTAAGATTTCAATGTAGGTATCACTATAAAGAAATTGTGAGTTCTAACATTTTAGACTTACACCAAATGCATATAAATAAAGAAAATATACATTTTAACACTCAATTTTACCACCTTTCTGTTTAGAATATAAAATATATGAAGAAACAAAAATGTTAATTTTAAAATTCTAGTATCGAAAGATTTAAATATACGAAATCGAACATTTTATTTTATGTATAAAATAAATTAAAATAAATTAAAAGAAATTATGTATATAAAATAAATTATTACTTGCGTGTATTTGCACGGAAATCTTTTTGTTGGAACCTTCTTATTAAATAGGAATCTTTTTACACATTCACTTAATGAAAACCTGTCAGCGAGCAGACAAAATATGCAACCGTCGTGATGATAACAAACACTCTACACGAAGTAACACATAATGCGAATCGAGATAATCAATCAGCATCGCGGAAAAGAGACAATAATAAAAATTTATATGCCTTTTTTAAGATAGGCTAAATAGAATTACAAATAAATTTTAATTTTTAAAAATTTTGAATTCTTTAAAAGTATGACAATATTTCGTCACTTTACTGTCATATACGAGTAAAATAACTTTTAATAATAAATATGTAAAATAACGAGAATTTAAATAGCAGCAAAGAAGCAGCAAAACAAAGAAGAATTTTTTAAGTTATCACATAAAGTATCATTACAAGTATCATTTTCTTTTTTTATGAGTTAAATATTGTGCACTTCACGCCAGAATTATGCACGTATTATGCGAAAAGAAAATAGCTTCTAATAATAATCATAATAACATTATAAATTAATAATAAATTGAATGAATAATGATTGTTTATAAATTAGACTAAAAAGCAAAAATAATGGTAAAGAGTAAATGTATGGAATTTTCGTACATTTTAGTATTTCGAATCCGAGATCAGTGTATACTTTAATAATGTCTCTAGTAGACGAATTAAGTTTCTATATGAAAATATTAATAATTTTCGCACTAACATCCAGTGATGGTTCGAGACGCATTTTAATATACATTAATTGATATTTTATCATACGATCCTTATATCTTATAATGATTTTAAAAAAAATATTTTCCTATTACAAGAACTTAAGTAAGTGAATCTAATAATACCGTTTATGCTGAAATCAAATATGTTTTTAGATTTTTTCTATCAGACAAGGTTAATAAGTGACATATGATTGAATATTTAAATAATAATACGAAATAAATGCTGCTTTATTTAAAAAGTAACAGACGATAATTTTCTGATTTATTTCGATTGTAAAACATCTTTCATTATCTCTTTATTATCCAACAATAATTAGCCAGCATATTAGGCTTCTACTTGTCCTGATACCGCTTTTCTATTGTTCGAATTTTCTGTTAAAAGTGTTCTTCATGCCATCACTGGCAGCCTCGAGATTTTTTAGGAAGAAGTTTAAGTGGACATCAAAGAAATAAATTTTTAAAAACATGTTACATCTTATAACTCTGTAGGATTGCAGAAGATTACTCATTATATCACTTTATTTTGCTAAAATAAATTTTTTTATTAAAATAAAAATATTCTTTAAATTAACGAATAAAATGTAGAAAAAGATCTTCTTTGTACAAATAAAAAATTTTGATTAGAAAAAAATACAAGAGTGATAATTTTTGTTTACAAAAAAATTGTTTCGAAGATAGTGCACGTAAAAAGGTATAATTGTGGATTGAATAAACAGAGTGATACCAAGCTCCTCCCGGACATACATACAGGGTGTCCCAAAAATTTTGACACAGCGGCCGTATGCCGGTAGAGCAGACCAAACTGAACCGAAAAGTCCTCTACCATTTTACAATTTTCACAAGGGTTAAAGAGATATTAATTATTAAAGATTACCGAATGCGAACGCACGGCTGAGATACGACCGCCTACAGACTACGGTCGCTAGGCGCGCGGCGTGCGGTAA